ATATTATATTTTTAATCGATCCTGAAACGAAAATGTATCATTATAAATAATAAAATACGACATATTTAATAATTACGGTCCTCGTAAAACCCAATGGAAAACGCGACACCTTGCTTGGATGCTCCCTGCGCACCTTCCGTGTGTCAAATGGATATTCGCATATTAACATCGAAATATCAAGTCTGACGCAAATATGTGGCTGAAACTAACCAGTGCAGTATGCATTGAAGATGACTAAAGGATCACTCATTGATCACGGAGATTGGGTTAACAATTAATACCGAATTCAGAGCTACTAATCGGCCTGACTACAATTTTTAGCATTATGATCTGCTAGTGCGGCAAGAGCGGCGATGCGTTCCAAAAGAAAATTGATACGGTCCTCCTTTACCATCATAAGGCTTTCCAGATACTTGGCCTTGTGGCTTATTGAGCTCAGGTATCTTTTCTTCTTGTAATTCTCCTGGATCACTTGCTTATATTTAGCATACGGCACGCTCATTCCAACTTCTGGCATATCCAGGTGAACGTTTTCATTTGATTTCTGCTCGGCAGCGAGCTCCGTGCTACCAGATAAACTCTCGGAGGTTTTCTTCTTGCCCCCTGTCGATGAGATCCTCTTGGATGGACTCACTGGCGATAGTCCATCTCGATTCCAGGTCATTAAATAATAGAGCAGGCACTTCAATGCAGCCAGACTGCCCGAGGCAAGCTGCGTCAAGTCGTTATGGGACAATTTCAGACCCAATTTACGAAGCACTTTGTGGTTAAAGATCTCCCAGTTTTCTAGCTTTAAGGCCAGGCTGCTGTGCGACTTGTAACAGCACATGTCGACCAGCTTCGAATTGAAATTCTTAATTATTTGAGCAACGTTCACGACATCCGAGAGCTCGCGACGGGTGCGATTGTCGAGCTTTATCTGCAAATTGGACATCCATTTATTTAACTCTTGCAGCTCCTCGGAACTCAATGTTCGATTGAAGGGCATCATTTTCTTCAAAGGTAAATCGAAACGTCGTCGTATTCGTTGATACAACAATTATTTTTAACTGAAAATTTTGAACTTGTCATTGATTTGATGTCTGACTTGTTTTTGTGAAAAAAGCTAAAATGTGTCTAAATTTTTTAGATCATGTCAATGGTTTACAGCCCAGTAGGCATCAAAAGGTTTGGGAAACCCAATGAGGTATCGAAATAAAAACATAAAACTTTAATTCCATACCTTTGTAGACTTAGCTCAATTTCTAAACACCATATATTTGCAATTTGCAAAGAATGAAGATTGCTTCCCATATACGTCTTACCTTACTACGTTGGGCATAACCTTTCTGTATCATAATGTATAATGTATATAAAGGATGATGAAAAACACTTAGATTCAAAGGGTATAACAATTTTATTGAAAACAATTAAACAATTTGCCAACAATTATTATTTTCTGCTTCAGCATTTTCTGTGCCCTGTAAATATGTAAGGACTTTAAGGTTAAGTTCACTTTAGTTTCTCAAGCGTTTACCGTTAAGCTGGGTCTCCGCAAGCGCAGCGACATCTACCACAGCCGCATCTGGCGCAGAGGCTCTCTATTTCAGGACTGTCCGGTTCGTCAATATCGATGTCCGGGTCCACATCAGACTCGCCGAGCACGCAATCCTGGGCGGCGCAGAGGACCACGGCGAAGAAAATCAAGAGTTTTACGTTGAACATTGGATCGGGAGAACAGATGCTGTTGATAC